TTAATCTACTACACTAAATTACCTTAAATATAGTATTACTAAGATAGTCTATAATAAGTAAGCTCTAGATAGTAAGATATAAATACCTAACGCTAATACTTCTATTATAATTATAAGTACTTAGGTAGCTTATTTTAATACTAAAAGGTACTTTAATAAGATTATTTAGGTTAAACTTTACTATTAAAAGCGTTTTAAGAAGCTTTCTAATAAGAATACTTTTAAAGCTTTTTATAATAATATTATTTACTACTTAGCTATATTATAGAAGAACTTTAATAAGTATATAAAGAAGTATAATAAGTCTAACCTTACTAATAAGAAGCTTAAGAAGCTTATTCTAAATTAGCTCTACTTTAAAATAAAGAATATCTTTAGCGTAAGGCTAGCTAATAATCTTTTATCTTACTAACTAGAGGTTAACTATACTATTAACGTTAAAAAGAATAAGCTTTTATATTTCTATATTTATAAGCTTATATAATAAGAAATAGAAGTAGTAAAAGTATATATTAATAAGATAATAGAAAAGAGCTTTATATACTCTAGTATATTACTATATACCTTTTCTATTTTAGTTATTAAGAAGCTAAGAAGTAGATTATAGATATATATTAATTACTATAGACTTAATAGTATTATAAAGAAAAATTATAATACTTCTTTTTTTATTAAAGAGATACTTACTAGAATGTATAAAGTACGTATTATAAGTATTATTAATATTATTACTACTTTTAACTTAGTTTATATTAAAAATAGTAATAAAAAAAAGATAGCTTTTTAAACTTACTATAGACTCTATAAGTACTTTATTATACTTTTTAGTTTATATAATACTTTAAGTACCTTTAAGATATTTATTAATAAGATACTAAAAAAGTACTTAAATAACTTCTATAGCGCGTATCTTAATAATATTTTAATTTATAGTAAAGATAAAAATCTTTATAAGAAATACGTTTTAAAAATACTTATAAAGCTTTAAGTAGCTAGTATATATCTAGATACTAAAAAGTACTACTTTAAAGTTAAGAAGGTAAAGTATCTTAAACTTATTCTTACTACTAAAGGCCTTAAGATAGATTTTAAAAAGGTCTCTACTATTTTAAATTAGTTCTTACCTAAAATAGTAAAGAATATTTAATTCTTTTTAGACTTTACTAACTTCTATTATTAATTTATTAAAAGATTCTCTTACTTATCTAAAGCTCTTACTACTTTTATAATAAAGAACGTTAACTCTAGAAAGTTCTTTCTACTAGTAGATAGCTCTACTATATATAAAGCCTTCTACTTTATTAAGAATATATTCTCTAAAGCTAGCGTACTTACTTATTTTAATTTAGAGCTTAAATTATAGTTAAAAACTAATACTTCTAACTTTATTATAGTAGCTATTCTATTATAGATAGGCTCTAATAGTATTCTATAATTTATTACCTTTTTATTATAAAAAATAACTTTTACTAAGTATAACTATAAGATTTATAATAAGAAACTTTTTATAATTATTTAAGCTTTTAAGAAATAGTAATTTAAACTAGCTAGCACTAAAAACTCTATTAAGGTTTTATTTAACTATTAAGCTTTATAAACTTTTATAAAAAGTAAATATCTAAATTAGCGCTAGGTACGTTAGGTAGAATTTCTAGCTAAGTTTAACTTCTAAATTAAGTATTATTCTAGAAGATAAGGCACTAAGCTTAATATACTTACTAGATAACTAGGTAATCTACTAGAGAATTATAATAATAAATAATATAAGTATTAAGTATAAGTTATTATTAAGCTTAACTAAGTTAACTCTAAACTCTAAATAGCTTTTCTTAGTTATAAAAAGAATAGTAGTAGTAACTATACTATATACTTAGCTTACTACTTCTCTAGTTATATTATTAATAATTTTATTTAAGTTATATAAATAATATATTAACTTAGTAAGAAAAATAATATTAGTAATTTCTACGCTAAGACTATAATTATAATAGCCTCTCTTACTACTAATACTATTAATAATAAGTTACCTAGTAACGCTAATAATAACTCTTAGTCTATCTAAGAAAACTTATAGCTAGCTATAAGATAAGCTTATACTAAAAAAGAAGATAGCGTCTTAAGAGAGCTTTTAAAAGCTAAGATTAATAGTTTCTAGTATATACTTTATAACCTTATTTATAGTAGCTATTATATATACCTAGAACTAGAGAACTATAAAGTTATTAATAGTCTATTATATATTAATAAATAAGTCTATATCTCTAAGACTAATAATATTAGAATACGCGTTATTAAATAGTTCTATTACACTTTCTATAGAGGCTATAGTAGTAAATATAAATTATACTTATAGCTTACTTAATAGTACTATTAGCTAAAGATAATTTCTAATATCTTTTAGTATCTACGTAATTACTTTATATATAAGTATACTAAGAGCTATAGAAATAGTAAGTATAGATTACTCTATTTACTACTAATCTCTAATTAATATTAGTCTTATATATTAATAAACTTTATTACTTATCTTTCTACTTACTACTATAATAGTTAAGTCTTTACTAATATACTTATTATAGTAGATAAGCTTACTAAGAAGAAGAAGTTTATTCTAATAGTATTACTTATAGTTAATATACTTATATAAGTATTTATAAAGTATATATAGTATAAAAAGAGCTACTTTAAAAAGATTATATCTAACTATAGTAGTTAATTTACTTTATACTTTTAGAAGCGCCTTTACTAGCGCCTAGAAACTTACTTAAAGTACTTATTTATCTTTTACCTATAGACTAATAGATAAACTAAAAATATAAATACTTACTTTAAATAGTATTTTTATATCTATATTAACTATAAATAAGATAACTAGATATTATATCTACTTATTATAGAATTTAAAGCTAATATAATAGTAAGCTCTTTTACTAGAGTATTACTATTCTATACTACTAAAAGATACCTTCTATAGTTAGAATTAGAGCTTCTACTACTTATTAATAATTACTTAGCTACTCTAGTTAGAATAAATAAAGCTAGAGTAGACTAGCTTACTTAATACTTTAATAAATTATATAAGAAACTCTAAGCATCTATATAATAAGTATAAGCTAAGTAAGCTAACTATATAAATAATAACTATCTTCTAGCGCTACTATTTAAAGTTAGTAACTTTATTATACTTAATACTTATAATATTAAAACTATAAAGCCTAACTAATTACTAGACTATAAGAACTATAGTTCTTTTAAAATTATATATTTAATTAATAATCTTATATATAAGCTATAGTTACTACTAGAGATAGATAAAATATATAACGTCTTTTATTCTTAGCTACTATACCTAGTCTCTTTAGACTTACTTTTAGACTAGTAAGTTAATCTAAAAAAACTAGCTACTATCTACTCTAATATTAAAAATAATAAGAACTATATTATTAAATTAATTAAAGACTATTATATTAACTAGTAACTTAAAGATAGTAAGAAAAAAAAACTTCTATAATATAAAGTTTAATAGGCTAGCTATTTTAAAGAACTAGATAATCTATTATAAAAACTATATATAAACCTTATTAGTAGCGTAGAGATAATTAAAGACTATTACTACTACTACTTTAATAAGCTAAAGGCTTACCTAAAATTTAAGATACTAGTTAAATAATAAAAGCTAGTAATACTAATACTTAAGTAGTTTTCTATTAGTTACTATTTTACTAATAGCTTATTATAAGTACTTATATAATACTTTTTTATATATATTAATCTATAAAGAGAAAAGTACTTCTATAGTTATATCTTATTACGCACTATAATAACTTTCTAGATTCTTACTTAGAAGAAGATTACTAACTCTAGAAGAACTATATATTCTATAAGTACTATTTTTATAAAGGTAAACTATATATTATAAAAGAACTAGTCTTACTTTTAGAAAGCTATATTCTTACTATTATAGAGAGTCTAGCTATAAGTACACTTTTAGAATAAGTAGCTTTCTATTTACTAACTATTAAATCTAAAATATAGCTTTATATATCTCTAATTTATTACTATTTTACTAAAGCCTATAAGTTATTACTACTTAATTACTACGTTCTCTAACACTACGCTATTCTACTAACTAACTAACACGCCTATTTATAAAAGATATAACTAGATATATATAGAGAATTAGATAATAGAATAGAAAATAGAGCTATTATTCTATATTTAGTCTACGTAGCTTTTATAATATAAGCACTATATTTATATTTATAATTATACTAGTAATAAGTTATATAAAGTAAAAAAAAAGCTTATAAGTATTAGAACTTACTCTTTTTAAAGAGAAAGGTAGTATAAAGAATTAAACTTATAATCTCTACCTAATTAGGCCTAGCTTTAATTAAGTAAGAAATATTAAAGTTTAGTTCTACGCCTAGATAAACTTATACACAGAATCTTACTTATTATATAACTTAACTATTATAACTACTTAGTAAGCTTTTAAAATTATACTACTAAAATATTAGTTTCTTTTTAAAGTAATTAAACTTAACTATAAAAATATAGTACTAGTAAAATACTATATTAATTACTAATATAATAAGCTAAAAAACTTAATATAAAAGCTTAGGTTTAAAATTAAAATAAAAGAAAAAAAATTTTTTTAAATTAGTTATTTAGTAAAAGAAATATTAAGTAAATAGTAGCTATACTAAAAGAAGCTAGCTTCTAGTATTAAAAATAGTAGTAGTAGTAGTAAATAATAATAATAATAAAGGCTTTAGTAAGTATAATTTTATAATATATATTACTATAAAGAATAAAGAAATAAGTTATTAAATTTAAATAAAATTATAATAAAGATTAGACAATATTACTCTAATACTAGAGTATTAATGCAATGCAACCTAGAGCTAACTATTAAGGATGTAAAGGCATGCTTAGCTAAGCTCCAACGTCAAATGGGCCCTTGTCCATCGATAACGGAAGAGTATATTCGCAGATGCATGGAAGACCGTACCCTTGGCGAAGACCTTGCTATGGAGTATGCAAAGCGCCGACAAGAAGCGCAACTGGCAGATCAAACAGACGTTCCACAACCAATGTCCGACGAGGACTTGTGGTTCGAGCTGCATTACGGTCTTCTATACGCTACCACGAAACTTCCGTCGGAGCCCGTCGTTTTGCGGCATCCACGGCACTCCGTGCATCAATACAAGGTGTACTTTAACGACGGGCCTGGTATTGACGATGGCCTCTTCAACGCCAAGACGAGAAGATTGGCCAGAGACACGGTCATGAGGCTTGATTGGCGACTGGACCCATTCATCAAAGCAGGCGGTCACCCAATAGCCTTGCGAACAACCGTTACGTCGGATCATCTGGCCGCATACCGGAAGATACGTAAAGTCATCATAGGTGATGAGAGCAACACAGACGTGGAGAGTCATAGCGAGCGCTTGCAATTCCTCATGGACCTAGCGGCAAAGTTACATCCAAATCTAGCCTCACCGCCTATGCGGTCTACTGATGTGGTAGCACCAGTGGAAGCGTTCTCCAAAAGCCTCTGGACCGAAATGGAACGTCACGCCCTCTGGCGCGCCATCAACAGGTGGTGCAAGGATAATGGTGTAGATCAGTTCGAATCAGGCAACATAGGCATAGTCACATGTCAGACTTTTGCTGACGAGATCAAAGCAGATTGCGCGAACCGAGGTACCGAATCAGAGCGCAGTGCAGAGAGCGTCCAAAGCCAAGTCAAAGACGCGATACGGAGGAACAAGACGAGAGCGAACAAGCCGATCACGGAGCTGGCCTTGCGTGCAAAGGCAATGAAAAAGAAACTCAACGACAAAGGCGTCAACTCTGTCCCAAAGAGCGAAAGGTTTCCGAAAGCAGCCATTGGTATCCCAGGGGATGATGAGTGGGACACTGATTAGACGGGTTCTGCAAGTGTTCAGGATGAAGGACGTGTTTAGATCAGGTTAACTAGATGTCAGCTACAATGAAGCCGAGCCCTCTCTCATGACCTAGATCTGGATTTGATGTGTGAGTCTGATAGTGTTATGCCGAGCAAATTACGAGGATGCTGCGAATAGAGTGACATGGTGGCAACGTAGTGGTAGGATAAGCAAGCTTCACGTGGTTCCGCGCGATTGTTATAGCCCAGCGTGACTTGATCAGAACACCCTCTTGATATCGTCCCTTGCAAACACCCTGGCGTATAAAGAAGTAGGCCAGTATGGCGTTACTTTGAATCAACACAGAGTTATCACCATGACCGACAACCTCGATACCTCATCTGCCCCGCCCGTCGAATGGAACGCAGATCAGCGCTCCTGGATTCAACTCTACTACAAGCTACTTTTGGAAACCATACGCCGATACCCAACTTTCCCGGTCTGCACTAGTGATAGCGTAGCTGCAATTGCTCACCGAATGTTCTACCGCAGCCCCGAAGAGAAGCAAAATGGCATCAATCCGCACTCCTCGGAAGACGATGAGATCTATAAGGCCTCGTTCATTAGCTACCGGAACGCCGCGATGCCGAATCTACTGTCTCAAATTGTGCAACTCTGCAAGGATACTGCCGAATTAGACTCTCGCTGCAGCATACCCCAGGTCTTCATCAACAGGCCGATGCTGGACGAATACAAGAGGATCAGCAGGAAGTATGGCTTCGAGAACAATGATCCACAGCCCTGGGACACGCAGCCTGATCTCTGGGAGTTCATCTCGAAGGCAGTAACCGAGAAAGTCCTTCACCGTGGGGTTCTGGACAGTCAGGATACTGTCGTGCAGTCATTTGTTGAAGCACCTGACGGCCGCCCACCACCGATCTCTGATGAAGAGCGCGCGGAGTTGAGGCTGCTGCAGCAACTCATTCAGCGTCGACTTGCTAGAGCTGACGATGACGATCCATCGATGGCATAGCGTAGGGGCCAGCGGCTTGATCCGTGCGGACACCAAACATGCTCTGGTCTCGTTTCAGCATCTCGCATGGAAAGAAGTTGAATCCCAGGCTATTCATACACCATATCTACTTTGTATTCGTCCAGAATATGCAGTTTTTGACCCATGACTGTGTACGCAACGAGTCTTCCTCTCGCAGGGACTGATTCCCACATGCTTTTGATATGTGCATTCTATCTATAGGCGAAATGTGACTACATGATCTTGCTTGAAGCCTTCTATCTTGAAGAGTTTACGTCGAGCTCCTCCGACAGCTGAGAAGAATCGATTGTTGACGGCCTTTTCCTTACCCAGTAGGCTGCATCTTGCCACGTCGTACCCGACGACGCTCCGGAGCCCTGTCGGTACCAACAAAGGACCAGGTTCTCGTTGTGGATTATCATCTTGGCGCAAGGACAGCCTTTGTTTTGACATGGGCTGCAAGCTTCGTGCTCACCGATCTGCTGTGATACCTTGCCTTTTGCAAGGACACGGGTTTGCACGCATCCTCTTCCCACGTTCGCTAATCGGAAGCCTTCTTTAACCATCCTAGCATAAGTATTGTGGCGGGACCTGTCCGCTCGTGTATATTGGACGTGGTTGCTCGCGCTGAACCAGAATTGGAAGTCGGCTGTGAGCCTCTCCTGGGCGTCAGGGGATAGTTCGTCGAGCTTGTGATAACTGATTCCACCTTCGCCCGCGACACAGAATAGCCAAGGTATGTCGTCGGCGGTGAAAACCTCGTTCTTTCCCGGCTGTGTGAAAAATGACTTTCCCCTCCTCTTTTTCGCTCGCTGTGCTGATGACTGGTCTTGGTCGAGTTTGTGCGTACGCTTATTAAGGGTGAATGTAGGTGGAGTCTCGGATCCCGCGAGGACTAGGCATCGTGTTAGTGCTTGTCAACAGTAAGGCTCCAGGCAAGAACGCGCTGCTCACAGTCCTGGTCTTGATCAATTTCTGAGTCATTAAAGACATGCGACGGGGTCAGAGAAGTCTCTTGGTCCTGGCTGTGACTAACAAGCGAACGATCTCTTGACCGAAGCCTTGAAGATAGCGGTACTGAAGACCCGGAGACATCCAAGTCCCCTCTTTGGCTAGATTGTGCCATGATTGGAGGCGGCGGCTTTGCCATTCTACCCCCTCCCGGCTTGGGTATGATATCGTAGAGTATCCGATACTGCTCTTCCGAGTAGAAGAGCTGCTTCTTGGTGTCGGAGAGCTTTTGCGTGATTTTGGAAAGCTGTTCTTGCGTATATAGCTTCTCTGCGTGCTCTTTATTGGTAGCTGTGTGAGCATCACGCACTTCCTCGTGGAGGCGAGTAGCGACGATGCTATGCTCTTCTTTGATCTTCGCCATCTCCGCGGCGTGCGCAAGGTCTTTGGTTCGCAACTCTTCCTCCGCTTTGAAATATGCGATGCGTAATCCAGCCTGTGCGGCGTCCTCGTCGGGATCGGTCTTGGCTTCCACAGCTGTTGTAAACAACTCGTTAGTCTTCATACTCAACGCAAGGTTACACTCCTGGGTTCGAGAGCCAATGGTTTTGCTCTCTTCGGATAACTCACCTGCAGAGTCGAGTTGTTCGTGAAGTTGAGCGATCTCGGCGTCTTTCAATCTGCATGCTCCGCAAAGCTCTTCCGTGCTCTTCTCTTGATCCTTCAATGCCGTGATGTTCTCTTTGAGGGCATCGTTTTCCTCCCAAAGCTGTCCGATCTTGGTGTACAGATTATTCAGCTTTCGCTTCTGTTCGCCAACGGTGCAAAGAGCAGCGTCACGTTCACGCCGAAGTCGAGACTCGTTCTCGTTGACCTTGCTCACTGGGTCTAACACACTTTGTAAATATGCCGAGACAACAGTAGTACCTCTTTCGCATCTCTTCTATATTTAATAGATAGATTTAGTTATTATATATCTTATATATATTATAAAAGTTATAAGTAACTTATTATTAATAAGTTATTATAGTACTATAAAATAAAATAAAATAGAACTAAAGTTTAAGATTTTTATATATATATAAGTTAAAAGAGAGTATAAAAGCTTTATTTTTATAATACTTTTTTCTCTTTTATATATAATATAGTGTACTTTTTACTTTAGTTTATTATTACTTTTATATAAAACTTAAATAACTTTATTATTACTATTACTACTTTTATTTTTTCTAATATTATTACTATAGTTTTTTTAACTAAAAAATAAGCTTTTAAGCTTTTAATAATTTTATAAGCTTTTTAGTATTTTTTTTATATAAGTATATATACTAAAAAGTTATATAGCTTAAAAATATAAAGCTACTACTTAAATACTTTATTAAGTAAGTAATACTACTATATTTTTTATAAGTTATACTAATATTTTAAGCTTTATACTAATAGCTTAAACTTTTATTTAAAATAAGTAAGTAATAGTATATAAGCTATTAACTTAAATAAAATACTTAGTATACTAGTTTATTTATAAAAAGTAGCTACTTATATATTAGAACTACTTTAGTAGTAATAAAAAATACTTTAATAAAATAAATACTATACTTACTTTATATAATATAAAAGTACTACTATAAATAAATATATAGGCTACTTAAATAATAATACTAAAAAAAATATAAAATATTAGATAGATAATAAATAATAGAATATATAAATATTTATATTATAGATAAAGCGTTTAGAGCGTGTGTAACGTGTATAAGACAATAGTAGTATTGTTATCGAGGCGCGTCTTGGAGGTGGTGACGGTAGTAGTGACTTCTTGGGTAAGTTCACGGGCTTCGAAATCGTCGCGCGTATCACTGGATTGACTTGGACGCGACATTTCTCACATCCGGGGTGATGGGTGAGACTGGGTGCCTAGTAAAAAGGATGTCGTGGCCGAGATTTCGCGTCTCAGGATGACGGCGGTGGGGGTGCGACGCGTGCGCTTCAGGAAAGAGCAAACGGGCTTAGTCACGTGAGGGTTAGTCAGCGCAGAGTTAGGAGCAGTGCATGCACTGCACCATGGCCTGGTCGACGGGATGTGTGAATCGAAATCAGAAGAGTCGAAGATGCAATATCTATTGACTTAATTCGCTTGATCAATGTTCCAATAGTACTATTATGAACTACCACAGCTTCCATGAGCTCCGCGCTTCAACAGTACTGTTGCAAGGGACTGCTGTGCCGTTGCTTGGGCTTACAACACCCTTGCTCTGGATTCCAGTACCCTCGCTCGTGCTATCTGTACCGTTGCTCGGGCTTCCAGCGGTAGTCACCCTGCCTAAAGATGGATGTACGAAGTCAGTAATCATCTCAGAACAGTTCGTACACGGATATTACTTGCTGTTACCATTGAACGCAAGTAGGTTCACCGAGCCCATGGGGTCCGTCACAACATTGGGCGTAGCTAGCGCATACACCCTCGCCTTGACATCGGCAGCAGTCGATGGGCCTTCAAGACCACGAAGGTATGAAACCAAGCCCGCTACGTGAGGAGACGCCATAGAAGTACCAGTCAGCGTCCTCGTCTCTGTGTCGCCCAGGTTGGATGCCGATACAATGTTCGTTCCAGCAGCAAAGATGTCGACCACAGCGCCGTAGTTGGAACCTCCACCGCCGCTGTGCCTCTTATTGGTGATTTCGATGTTTCCAACACAGATGACTTCAGGGGAGCGAGCTGGCGAGCTGTTGATAGCAGGGGAATCCTCATTGCCTGCTGATGTCACGACGAGAACGCCTTTCTTCCATGCTGCAGTGATGGCGGCATCCCATGTTATTGATGCGGAAGAGCCAAGGGAGACGTTGATGACGGCGGTGTTTTGGCGGCCCTTGGAAACAATGTCGTTGACCGTCCAGTCAAATCCGGCGAAGACATCTGATGCGCTTCCGGTGTCACTGTCTAAGACCTTGACGCCGATAATGTTGGTCTTCTTAGCGACACCGTACTTGGCGCCACCCACGGTTCCAGCGACATGCCTAGGACTTGTTAGGATGTGAAAATGAATAGTTAAGAGACTGTGACTTACGTTCCATGGCCTTCGTTGTCGGCGTCGGCGGTGCCTCTCACGGCATTGTAGCCCCAAGTTGCTCGTCCCTCGAAGTCGCTGTGACTGATACGAACACCAGTGTCTTAAAGATAATGTCAATTCCAAGTCAATATTGCCATAAATATCGTGACTTACCCATGACGTAGGAGAAGGTGCCTTTGCCCGCAGTGTCATCATACACGTATGAAGTGGCTCCTGCCTTGCGGGAAGAGATGCTGGCTAGACCCCACGGTGCGTTCGCTTGAGTCACCACGGCGTTGATCCTCACGATAAAGTCCGGTTCGATGGTGAGGACCTCAGGGAGAGCCTTCAGCTCTTCAACGGTCGCCTCATCGAACGACCCAGCGTAGGCTTTGAAGTCGCCGAACCCGTACTCGCGTTCCACTGGAGCACCAACGGGACCATCGTCGCCTCGTCGAGCCAGATTGCGGGCATGTATGCTGCGCACAGTGTTGTGGTGGGCTGCGATGGATGCAACGTCGGTATCAGGCTTCAGCTGAACGATGTATTTTCCGGGAATGATCTCGTTTGCTGGAGGCGCCACGACGGGAGCAGCTTGGGCCAGGAAAGGGGCTGCAGCTGCAGCGAGCGCGGTGATGCGGGTGAAGAACTGCATTTTGCCTGTGGACTGTGGGTGCGGCGTGTGGAAATCAAGGTCGATTTGCCTACTACTGCTGGACTACGTGCGCTTTTTGACTTGCACCATCTTCGTCGCGTAGGTTACAATACGACTAATCGTTAATCCAAGCATCGCGCTTTTCTTGACTACTGCCTGTTTGGGCACAGCTCCCGTAATGCACTTCGTATAAGAGGCGATGCCGGCAGTGGTAGATGAGAATCTTCCGACTCATGGTCGGCCAAGACAGTCGCGCCAGGGGTAATTTTGGAAACGGGATGGAAAACAACCCTGTTCTTCCGGCCAGCGCTTGCCAATTCGAGCGTGACTATCGGGCGCGAAGCGATGAACACGGGATCCGGCGTCGTATTCTGTGGATAGATCCCACATCGGAATGCACTCCGCAAAATCGGGCCTTGTAGAATCAATGCCGTTGTTCGCGACAACAGAACAGGCAGGTTCCAAGAGTCTGTATATTGCGAAATGCTCGAAAACATGGGGAGAGATAAGAATCAGTCTGGGCAATAGAGCACTATCAAGGGTAAAGGGCAGTAGATGATGTAAACCGCTGCTCAGAGTGGTGGACTTTTCGGAGACGACAGTCTGCGGTGCATTTGAAGTCGTATTGCATCAGCCCAACAGACGCAATGAGAAGGAGGCAATCCGGTCAAGAGGTAACAGCGTGAATCATTGACGACTCGAATTGTGAATTGCGTGATGGTCTCGTGCTGTAAGCATCCGCTGGGCGGGCGGTCCCGAGATCTTGAGCGGCTTGCGGCAGATATCGGCGCGACTACGGAAGTAGATAGCGAAGACTATCAGTCCAGTCCATTGAGCTGGTTGATGATCTGGCAACGAACAGTCGCCGCTTCGTGGTATCTGTGTTTGCTGGCCCGCGATGGGCTGATCATGGTCGACGCATAATGTGTGTAGATGATGGGCATGCGGCTGAAAAGGAGTAGCGAGAAAGCCGCTCCGGTCGAGACCTCGGGAACAGGCTAGATTGACCGCGCTAGATGACTCAGCAACTTCCTCTCGCCATCCCGGTGCATCGAAGCCGTTGCAAACTTCAACACCGTAGAACAACACTCACGCGTCGTGGGAGACTGCATCAATCCGCATATTACACGCCTTCGCTGTGACGCCACGCGTTATCGAGAGGGGTCATTGTCAGCATATACACGATCACGATGGTGTGCACGACTCCCAACTGGCCGCATATCCTTAGTTCATCCCAGAGAATGTCCTCAGCGAGTAACTAAACAAAAGGAGATACCGCGGTAGCTGGCCAGAGTGCCTAAGGAGCGGATGAACCAGAATTTCACGTCAAAGATATACAAGAAGTCCAATTCCCTTCCGCCTGCTGACCTTCATTCGCCTCTACGCTGTGTCATTGGACGCATTACCTTCGTCTTCCAGGCAAAATGCTGATGACAATGGCGAAATCTTCCATCTCTACCTGGGCCGAAATCTTGCTGACTCCTTCTCATCCAATTCCGCCTCTAACAAAAGAACAAGTTCTAGTCATCCTCTTCAAATACTTCTTCCTCTTTATCATCGCCAAACTCGTAGATCATGTCAACTTCGCGGTTGATATCCTCGTCGTCGTCGTCAGCCATCTCATCGACTTCCTTAGCAGCATGTGCTTCATTACGAGCATCCATCTCGGCCTTGCTAAGATGCGCGTTTCGTCCAGGTTGTATCCTGCCTTTGGCACTAAGCCTGGGACGTTTGTCGGACTTGCGCGGGGAAGAGGGCAGCAAATTGTCGTCATCGTCATCTTCGTCCGAGCCGGATTCGATGGAAGTCTCGTCGTCGGAATCAAGCTTACGCTTCTTGCCGGATTTGTTGTGTTCGGACGGTGTCTGCGGCTTCGCCTTTGCCAAGAAGCCGGCGATGTCGATAGCCTCGTCAGGGTAGCGCTCGTCGTCTGGGACGTTTTCACCTGCGTCGATACGTGCAGCCACCTTCTGGCCTTTGGCATATAGCATACCCAGGGGCTCGTTGGGTTTATTGGTGATCTGCTGTCTTGCCCAACCACTGACCGAGTCAACTGAACGCAGAAAACCTGTCTTTGCCACAAGGGTAGCCTGGAGATCCTCCCTCCCACTCTCCATCACCCGAGGTAGGAGCTTATCCACGCCATTCTTCTTGACCCAGGTGTTCACCCACTCGTAAACGATGGCACGCTCATCATCGGTCCAGGGATCGCGCATCTTGGTTGTCTCGCCGG